AAAATATTAAAAATTAAATATAATTATCGTATTTTGAATAAATAATATTTTATTTTATCCCGTGCATAACACAGCTGATATGCTAGTTATTAAATATACAAATTGCAACCTGTATATTTAATATACAAATTATTTTTTTTAGCTTTTTTATAAAAATAATTTAATAATCTCATCACTAACCATAGTATCCAGGTGAAGTTGAAAAGTGTAGCAGTAGGTATGAGATAAGTCAAAAAGGCTTGTGGGTTGAAAGAAATCAATAAATGCTGAGTTTTTTTCTTTTAAATAAAAAAATTAAAAAATTAAGATTGGGATATTGAAGCACTCACAAGGCTTGTGGGTAAAAAATCTCATTTTTCTTATATAATATATATCTATATATAGATAATGAGATTACATAACACAACATGTTTGTTTGGAGGGATTGAAGTGTGGGATTGGACTAATAGTCTATCTGGACTAATAGTCCATTATTTGTTTCAAATTTTTTGCTCCGAACTATTAATTCCAAATTTGTTGGACTATTGCATTCCATGGGAGGGGGCACAAATCATGGGATAACTCATCCCATGGGATTAGGTTGCCAAATTACATTGTTGACCTTCTAGTATTAAATATCTTTTTCCTCATGGTATTAATTATACTTAAAAAAGTAGTCTCAATTTAAAAATAAAATAATTTTATTTAATTTTTATTGTTGATTTATTTATTTAATTTTTTATAGATATTTTATTGATGTTTTATTTTAAAATTTTGTTGATATTTTATTTAATTTCATTATTTAAATTTTAATAGATGTTTTATTTAATTTCATTATTTAATTATTATTATTTTTAAAAATAAAATTTTTCAAAATTTTAATTAAAAAAATAGCACATATTTTTATTGATATTTTATTTATTTTATTTATTTATTTTTAAAAAATTATTTAATTGTATAAAAAATAAAATAAAATAAATTTTTATTTAATCTAACTAAAAATAATTAAAATATTAAAGACATGTTTAATATTGCTATTAGTTAGTAAATAATTGAAAATGATAAAATAGTCATTTGAGCATTTATCCTTCTCCATCATATCCCAAACAAACATAGGATTCATATCTTATCCAACCAAATAGTCCTTTCCTGACATCTAATCACACGACTAAACAAACATCGGATACATATCCTATCCAACCAAATAGTCCCAGGATTATGAATCCTAAGATTACAATCAGATGGATTTCAATCCTCCCTTATTCAGTTCGTCCAATCAAACATGTATAAAGATACTATCTTACATCACCGTCATAAAATATATCTTGCACCAGAATTCAGTTATGGTCCACTTAATATGTTATGAAATTAGGATGTATATTTTAAGAACAAATACAATACCAAAAAGCTCTTTGAGGAATGTAGTTTAATAAGGGACAAAATTTAACTACATTAGTAATGTACCGCGTCAAAGAAAAAAAAAAAGAATAAAAAGTCTTGTGTGATGTAATAGACTTCAAATTTGGAATAATAAAAATTTTCAACTACCAATCATTTGCAATTTTTGTTTAAGGAGGCTCAATAATTTCTTTTTTGATGAGCAATAGAAACTATATATGTATTTTGAATATTTGACTTATATATGTAAATAATGATAGAATTGTAATTCATGAAAAAAAACAATTGTTACTAAATAATAATTTTAAAAAAATATAAGCTTCTACTCAAGGAATATGAGCTTGTACTCGAGGAATGTATCTACACCACAAGTTTGTACCGAGATTTATAATCGAATTTTGATTTTTTTTTCCTTGAACAAAAAATAATTGAAAAAAGAAAATAATCAAGCAAACGAAAGAGGAAACATCATTGTCTATGGCCCATTCATTTTGTTACTCAAGATGACAAATAAAAATTTTCATCTTTACCAAGAGACATAAAAATTAGCTAACCGTTCAATAGCCATAGAAAATGATTGAAAGAGCTGCAATTCGAGATAATCTTGATAGATAGCAACAATGAAAAAAGCAACTAATAAATGCACATTATCTATGGTACATGAAATACCACTTGATTTATAAAATGCTCAGAAATATAGAAAATTATTAGGTACTTCTGGAATACCACGTGTCCATATTTATTCACCAATCATCATTCATCATGTCCCTTCATATTCCTCAATCACCCAACACAAAGTTTCCCAAATCATGGGCAAAATTACAAAGGAGTCCTCTTTGGAAAATGTGTGGCCTATTTAATCCCACAACCTTTTGTTTATACCCAAAAGTCTTGTATCTCTGCCTCTTTTTTTTTTTCTTTTTCTTTTTTCCTGATTTCCAACGATTGTCGACGGACAACCACGTTCTCTTTCTCTTTTTTATATAGTCACCGGTAACCGATGACTACCATCAATTGGGATTCATCAGCAACCACCGACCATCAACTCCTTACTTCACCCTTATCGACGGTGAAGAAGATATGTTTTCGAAGAAGAATGTGAGTAGATCTACTCAGATCTGATGTAGATCTATATCAGATCCGAGTAGATCTATATCAAATTCGGCTAGATCTAAACAAAAAATAGTTGTCTGAGTACAATCATCTCTCTATATCTGTCTCTCTCCTTCAATCTCTTAATTTTTCTACATTTTCTCTGCTATACACTTCTTTTTTCCTGTTTTAATGGAGAAAATTTTTAAGTTCTGAACAAGTTGTTTTTGAGTTTTAGTTACAAGCGGTGAAAACTATAAAATTTTACAGTTTTAATTTTTTTAGTATTGGAATGAATCATGATTTAAAACTGTAAAATTTTATAGTTTCATAACATTTTTTAGAACTGTAAAATTTTACAGTTTCATAACATGTTTTTCAGTTTGATTAATAAGGATAAATGCTTAATAGATTTTTTCTTTGAAACTGTAACATTATACAGGTGCAAAGCTTATTTTTTAGTTTGATCAATATTAGAGATTATTTGCTTAAACCTCACAAAAATTAAAAAATAACATATGTTTTTTTTTCTCATTGTTACTGTTTTTTGTCATTACATTTTTTTCTTCTTTTAGTTTATCATTATTTAGCACATTTCGTTATTTTTTTTGTTCTAATTTCTTCATTTATTCTTTTTTTTCCGGCAATATTCTGAACATTCTGGTGAGTCTCCAACGATGTTCTTAACGTCCAGCGAACATTCTGGACATTCCGGCGACTTCCATTGACGTTCAGAACACTTCGGTGAACTTTCGACGATACTCTGGTGACTTCCCGGTGATGTTGAATATTCCGGCGAATCTCCGGTGACCATCTGACGGAAGTCCGACGGTAATGGGATGTAGCAGTGTCTATAATTTTTTTTTAAAAAAAAATTGGATTTTTTGATAACAATTAAAAATATATAGGACTAATTAGTGCAAGTGCTTTGTTTTGGGATTAGATGGGTTTTGAACTTTGTGTATGAGAGTTATTAGTAAGTTCCCCAAATCATACTACCCCACATCCTTCACCAATTATAATACTATAGTACCACGTGGCCGTGTTCCGAAAGTACCCAATAATCATCCAATATAATATACTCCTTTAGTCTTCCATATTTAAAGGATATAAATAGGGTTTATTAGAGACTCTTCACCTTTTCCATTTTCACATTAAAAAGAAAAAGAAAAGGAAATCAATGCTCAGATAGAAAGAAGAACCAAATCTAAAAGACAAAAAACTAAAGGAAATGCATAAAATACAACACAAATAAAAATAATAGTAATATGTGCTATTCTTAGCTAGACACATGGTGCATTTCTAGACTATAGTTCTGAAATGCACACATTTATGAGTTATGAACTATGAAGCACGAATACTTCTAAAAAGGAGACATATTTGTATTGGATATTAATACTTCCGAATACGTAGCAAATACTTATTAAAAGTATTAGTTACTTCTTAATTAATTTTTCATTAATTCTGACGCATCGGATACTTATTTTTTAAGCATCGGATACTCCAAGTCGTATTATCTGTTTTACAAAATTAGAATTGTAACGTTTCTTACATAACATTATATACCTTAATTGTGAGGATAAATAAAATAATATTTTTCCAATACTTTGCTTAGTTCTTTGATAAGAAGGATATAATGTGTTATAAGTAATAGAATTTATCAAATTGGCATATTCTTATTGTATTAATCATGTCCCATATAATTACATAAAAAGTAAAATTTAACAAGTGAATATAATAATAATAATAGAATTAAATATTAATAAATAAATAAGTAAACTTACTTGCAACATTTTTTTACTATGTAAAAGGGAAAAACATATGGACAAATTCATGTAGATTGTTCTATAATTGCGATATAAACATATTGAACTTAATATTGAAGCAAAATATCTATAAAGCCTATTGAAATTGAAGAAATAAATTAGCTAATAAGTTAAATTAATTCTTCATTCTTAAATATTAATATTTTACATTATAAAATTACAGTATAGTTTTTAACATGCTTGAGCTTGTGTAGTTCACTACTAATAATTGAAAAAACAATTTTTTTACAAACGTATCTTAACCGTATCTGTATCCTACTTTTATAAGTTTTGTCGTATTTCATATCTGTATTGTATTCTATCCATATCCGTATTCATATATGTGCTTCTTAAGTCACGAATTTTGAAGAACCTATTTTTGTGACTCCATGCTAAACTAACCAGTCAAAATAAATTACAAGGATTAAAAATAGAATTGGTAGGATCGGATTTGAATCGAGATTCCATGATTCTATGAGATCCAACTATTAGGGTCGAAAGATCCTAGTTGTAAATTTTTTTTTACACTATGCAAATCTATTGTATCCAAATGGATCGTAAAATTATAAGATTATAAGATTCGGATATAGATTCAGATAAGCATGGATAAAGGAGGGGAAGAAACATAAGATGAACAAAAAGGCATAACAGTAAATGTGCATATACTACTACACTAAAGATATATATCCTTGAAAAAATAAATTATATATATATTTAGCACTTTACCTTTCAAGCAAGAAAGAAACCAAGATGCTTTGCTAGAAGAATCTAAAAGAAAAGAGAAAAAATAAGCAAAGAACAATGATAGAGACCTGGTTAAATTCTTAAAAATCACCTAATTAAGCTGTTAAAATGCTTATAAAACTTCAAGCACAGCACAGACCAGGGGGGAAAAAAAATTGAAATCATACAGACAAGATCTCACACAATGACAATTGTACAGTGATAAAATAAAAACTATAGTTTTCATACCTTGTTGCAAAAAATCAAAAAGCAGATCAAGTCCGTAACTTCTTCTGAGTGGTTTGGAAATATTAAATGGAGAAAGAACTGGGAAGACTTTTGTGATGAGTTTTGTAGTGAGAACAATAATTATGAGGAAGGAATTGGGAAGGAGAGATTATTCATTCGTGGCCCCAAAGGGACCACGTCACTCCCACCACGTGGTGCCACAAACCTATCAAACGTTTAGCCTACAACTATTACAATTTTGTTGAAATGTCTGAATGGAGTATTGTTTCATTTCAGATTATGTTTTACTAATTTTCTGATTTCATTGTGGCTTGAGTTTCATTTTCATTTCTAACAATTAAGTTGGAATTGTCAAGGTGAGAATTAACTACCTATACCCATTGCAGATCTGAACAAGTGAGGTCATTTTCTTGAATTAAATCACAAAGGAGACATTTGGCCTGACTTTTTTAGGTGGATGTGTTTGTAGTGAAGCCACTAGATGACATGATTGAATCAGTTGAAAGAAAATTTGAATCAATGTCTGTGAAGTAAAGGAAACCAATTGAAATATGCTGGGTTAATTTTTAATTTTCTTTTTTGGGTAAATTACATTGACCCCCCGAGGTTTGGTCCAATTACATTCCACTCCTCGACGTTCTGGAAATTATATTTACACTCCTGTGGTTAATAGTCTCATTTCGCAAACCCTCCTACTTATATAAAAGGCAATAACTCTTAATAAAAAAACAGAGAAAATTACATTGAAAAAAAAAGTAAAGCAAAGGAAAAGGGGAAAAAAAAAAACAGAGGAAGTAAAGTAAAGCATGAAAAGAGAGAGTGTATGAGTTTAATATTTTCATTTCGTCTAAATAATTACAATGACAGGGGATTAGTGTAATTTTTCAATCGTCAGGGGGTGATATGTATTAGATCCAAACCTCAGGGGGTGTAAGTGTAATTTACGCTTCTTTTTTTTTGTTGAAAATATGATGGTAATAATTACCATGTGATAAGTTGTAGCACCACAAAAAACCTTCTTTGCCCATGTAATTTCATTAATTTTAGTGAACCTTCATAATTTTTTTTTTCTTTTTTTGTGTCGTAGAAATTGTAAAGGTATAATAGATAAGATAATATCTTTTAGTTTACATATTAGGCGTTTTAACTAGTGCCCAACGACGTAACGGCGTTTGATGGAGTGCATAGTGGCTAAAGCTCAAAAATCATTCTTTGATCATGTAATTCATAGTTTTGGTTGGTAGTATAATGGATTGACTTCATTGAATTCTACTTCTTTTTTTCTTTTTTTTTTTGGCAAATTATGATAATAATTTCTATATTTTGGTCTTTATGTCATTTTGGTCCCTGTAATTTCAATTGTCTCAGTTTTGATCATGAATTTATGACTTTGTTTTAATTTGGTCCAATTAATTACAACTCTTAATATTTTTTTTATGAAGGATAAATTACAATCACCTCCCCTAAGATTTTTGACAGTTACACTGGCCTTCCTTACTTTTTTTTTTTTTTTTGAAATTACATTAACCTCCCTATTGCCCCATTCCGTTAGTTTGACCAGCATTTATGTTATTCATGAATTCCATTTTTTAACAAAAATAAAAAACACATTACAGAGAGAGAGAGAGTGAGCTCATGTCTCAACTGAAACTTGAACTCCTACACCTCTCCATTGTAGGAGAAAGAAGGCATAAATGGCTTCCAGACTAAAGAAGTATAAAAACTTACTGATGCATTCTCTAGCTTGGTAATATATACAAGACAATGTTTTACTTCTTAGTTTGTAAAACTGAAGGGAGATAAATTGCTTTCTATTTTATGAATGAGATCAACCATGAACTATTATAGGCCATGGTCCTCTGTGTACTCCAAAAAAAAATAAAAATAATAAAAATCACGACTATGGACATGTGTCAATACAAGCTTGGCTCACTTTCTAACATCTTTAAAAAAAATTTAAAAATTTAAAAATTTTAAAAATAAAAAACACACACACACAAGATTGAGGACCAAACTTCAAATAATAGCGCAACAAAAAAAAAAAAAAGAAAAATGAAAAATGAAGCTTAGAAACTGATTTTGATAAAGCTTGGAAACTAAACTAAGAAGATAAAGAGTTAGAGACCAATCAATAATAAAATTCTTCACAAACGCCAGAAACTGCTCTCTCTCTCTCTCTCTCTCTCTCTCCAAATTCACTCGGTTTTGGAGTATTGAGATTATTTATGAAGATTCAAATTGATAGTGGAATTGTAAGAAACGAACGACAACAATTTCAAAGCTTGAATCGTGGGAATTTCATATTCAATTCTGATATCCCAAACGCACAAACTAATCTACTAATGAAACAAAAGCAGATATCAAATCCATTTCAAATCCTTAGTCTATCTGCTAATTGAGAAGTTAGATTGTGAAACTATAAAACTCTGCTAGCAGTGTAGACAGGGCCTTTTCTTCAAACCTAGGGCTCATGAGGATTGAGAGAGGTAAGTTGTTCTTGCACACTAGACAAGTAGAGAAACAGACGATGCCGGAGACGGTTGGGAATGTCAGGTCAGGTCAACCGTCCACGTCGGGTGAGGTGAGGCCCACCCAAATTGATCACGCTGGAGCCCAACAACGACAAAAACTCGCAAAATCAAAAAAAAAGTTGAGACAAGCTATTGAATCCGAATTTTCGGTAATGCAATAGGTATAGTTAAAGTTTTAAAAAACGACCGTAATGTAACCGTAACGATTGTGGTTGTGTTAACATATAATATACATATAATATATACCCCCACTACCATGTATAGCTGTAAAAGACCTTGCATCTGTAAAGGCCACAATGTGTACCTGTAAAGAAGAGAACTTTCACTTTAGCTTTAGCTTCTCTCAATGTAAATTACCAGGCATCCGATTCTAATTGTCTCCCTCTCCTCTCTATAAAGAGAGGGAGCTTGCTCTCTTGTAAGATACAGAAACATAATATAACAACACCAACTTTCAGTCCCTCTCTGTTCTCTCCCTCGTTACCAACCTTACATGGTATCAGAGCCTAGAAACACAATTCTGGCATCCCTCAATTTTGGTTCTTAGTTCCGTACACAGTGGACTATACCAAACAGCTCGGAATTTCCTTACGATCCCAACGGCACCAAGCCCATCACCAGACAAGCCCTCACGCGCTCTCACGCGACGCTTCTTCTCTCGGCGCGTCTCTGCTTCCGTTGCCACTCTCACACGCGCTGCCACGCGCCTTCCACCCTGCCCTGTCGTGCGCCGCACCTGCTACCATGCACCAGCGTGCGCCGTTCGTCTACCGTGAGCCGCGCGTGCGCCGTTCTGCTATTGTGCACCCGCGTGCGCCATTCTGCTAACATACGCTACCAGTCCCCTCTGCTACCGTGCACCGCACGCCCTTCCTGCTAACGTGCGCCACTGACCTCATTTTCCACCCTGCTGACATCATCCCTGCACAGCCCACCTTTCCTAGCTATTTTCGACCTTCCGGACTCACTGGTACACTCTGTTTTACCTAATTTTGCTCCTACAGGTCTCTCCCTATCCATTTAGCCCTACTCCACTATTATTATGGATCGTCCTGATGCCTCCCATCCCATTTCCGTTATTTTGGATGGTTCCAACTATGTTCTATGGGCCCAAGCCATGTCTTCCTTCCTCAAAGGAAAGAAGCTCTGGCGAATTATCACCGGGGACATGACCCAACCGGTCAAAGACACTGCTGAAACTACTATTTCCCCTACTACTCCTACATATGAAGATCGCCTTGAGGAATGGGACAGTAAGAATTACCAAATCATTACCTGGTTTCGGAATACCTCTGTTACCTCTATCAGTCTTCAGTTTGGTCGCTTTCAGCTTGACTCTGTCACCACTCCTGCCAAAGACATCTGGGATTTTTTGAAAGAACGATACCAGACTGCTGGTCTTGCTCATCAATATCAACTTCAGAGCCAACTTCATCGGATGCGCCAAGAATCTAGTCAGTCCATCAATGACTTCCTCTCTCAAATGTACTCCGTTTGGGACCAGCTTGCTCTTTCTGAACCAACTTGGCCTCACCGAGAAGATGCTGTTTTATTTACTGCTTATCGTAATCAGCAAAGGTTGGTGCACTTTCTCATGGCTCTCACTTCATCTTTTGAGCCTGTACGTGCCTCTCTTCTTCATCGCCATCCCTTGCCCACTCTGGAACAAGCTATTTCTGAGTTGCTATCAGAAGAGACTCGTCTTGGTACTCTCCAAACTCATCATGTGGACTCTGTTCTTGCCACTCCCCCGTACCGGCCATCATTCCCCCAGCGGACCACTGCCTGTCTCTACTGTCAGAATCGGGGCCTTCCTTCCACACATCTCCTGGTCAATTGCCCAGTCAGAACCTGCCGATATTGCAACAAACTTAGTCCTGGTCATCTGCAACAGGATTGTCTTCGCCATCCATCCCGCTCATCCTCCAACAACCACTCTTCTCGCGGTGGTTCTTCTCGGGGGAGCTTTCATCATTCCAGGAACCAATCTCATCCTGGGAATCAGTCTCCTCACACCGCCACTACTGCTGCTGCCGCTGAGGGTTTTTCCGAGTCTCTGGCTCCGTCTACCCCTCTCTTTTCTCCAACGGATGTCGAGGCCATGTTCAAACACCTTCTCTCCCCTTCTGGTACACCTCCTCCTACTGCTTTGTCTGTAATTCCAGGTAACTCTTCTTGGTATTTTGATTCTGCCTGTTGTAATCATATGACCTCCAGTTCAACTATATTTTCTTCCATCTCTTCCTCTCCTCATATTCCCTCAATTCAAACTGCTGATGGTTCTCTCATGACTGTCCGTCATCTTGGTACTGTTTCCACATCTTCCTTAACTTTACCTCAAGTTTATCATATCCCTGCTCTCACTTTAAACCTTATCTCTATTGGTCAATTATGTGAACTTGGTCTAACTGTCACCTTTTCTGCTACTCATTGTTTGGTGCAAGACCCTCAGACGAGGCAGACTATTGGGATCGGCCGTAAGCATGGACGTCTTTATGAGCTCATTCACCTTCATGTTCCTGCCTCTCCTCAGATCGCTGCTCCTGCCTCGGCTTCCTCATTATCTCCTTTTCACCTTTGGCATTGTCGCTTAGGACATATTTCTATTACTCGCTTAAAGTCTTTGGTTTCTAGTGGACAATTGGGTCATGTAATTCCAGATACTTTCGATTGTATACCCTGTCAACTTGCCAAACAACCTGCTTTATCATTCAATAAAAGTAC